GATCCACACCTTCTTCTCCAGCTACTCCCATTTCTCGCTCTCCTTCACAGCCACAGTCCTCAGTGAGTTGTTCCTACGCCTCCCCTCTGCACTCTGACCCACACCATCTTGCTTCTATTCTGCAAACATCTGCTCTATTTAGATACTTTTAGTCAAGCTCCCCTCTGCCCTGCATTTTTCAGCCTCTCACTGACACTGTCCTCACTGGCCGATCTCCTGCCCTGTTCTCCCACTTGGAGGAGCCCTTATTCCCCGATCTGAGAAGTCTTCTTTCTTTGGGCTTCTATACCCCATTGTCCTACTTGACTGGCAATTCCTGTTCAGTTCTGTAGCTGTTTCCTCTTCTGCCTGACCTTTAGGTCGGCCTGGACATTCCTTAGGACTGGGCCTTTTCCAGTCCCCTAACCCTCTAAACGACGGCATACACTTTCATGGACTTCAATGCCGTCTTCCATTCATTTCTTCAACACTTAAAGCATTGGCGCCTTGGGTAACTTTCCAGGTGAGAGCTCGTCTTTGATGTTCAATACATTTATCACGTCTGAAAGGCTACATTCCTCCTTCCTGCAACCCCACCTTTCCCTCCGGTCATCTCCCTCATGGTCTCAGCACTGGCTCTCTGACTGCTTAAGCAAGAATTGCAGAAGCCATCCTTGCATCTCCTCTTTCCTTCCTCTTAATTCACAGTCTGACTTTAATTCCCGCAATCTTTCTCGAGAACATATAAAACCTGGCTGGGCTTGGTGGTCCACGCCTGTAATCCTGGCATTCAGGAAGCTGAGACAGGAGGGTCACTGCAGGTTTGAGGCCAGCTGGGCTCTGTAGGCCAGTGTGAGCTACATATTGAGTCCTGGTCTCAAAACAAATAAAAGAAAATAAATCTAAAATCCCTTCGTTATTCCGTATCTCTCTCCAAAGCAACATCATCTTTATTTGTCTCCTTATTTCCTTATTCCTCTTTCTAATCTGCTCTCCACTTAGCACCTGAAGTGAAATTAAAACTGAAATCATCATATTTCTGTCCTTCCATTTCTTTCAGTCCTTAGAATAAAAGCCAGACTCTCAGTGATGGCTGCGAAGGTCCTAAAGGACAACGACCCCAACCTTTCTGGCACCAGGGGCCAGTTTCCTGGAGGACAATTAATGGCTTGGGGACCTGGGATGGTTCAAGAATTTATTCAATCCTTCTATTATTATATATTATAAAATACAGTGAGGTAATTATACAACTGACCACGATGAGCCATCAGTGAGAGCCCTAAGCTTGTTTCTCTGCACCTAGATAGTCCCAAGGGGAGGAAATGGAAATGTGACACCTGTGTGTGGCCCTTGTCCAGTCTGCTCCCCAGTCTTGTTTTGGTTGCTGTCACCACAGAAAACCCTGCTTCACAGAGATAGGGCGTTAGAAATGGGAGCAGGCTTGTCTGAGCTTTTGTGACAATCTCAGGATATTCCACTTTGAATTTAATTCAGAATGTATGGAGATTTGAAGTTGTCTCAAACTTTCTTTTAAGGCTTCTGTTATTTCCAATTTCGATCAGTTTGTGCTCTTCTACCACAGACAAAGTCCACTGACCTCGTTAATTCACATGTGGCTCACAGATCCATCCCTTCTCAATTTTGGGTTATTTTTTGGTTGGCAAGTAATGCTTCAACTCTTTTGAAGGTTACAATAGGTGATCATGCACCAGCTGGCAGAAAGAAGTTCCTGGCCCATTCTCTTTCAAAATCTTTGCTAATGTTTGAAACATGCCCCAAATCCCAAGACCCACAGGCTGCCCCAGTAGTTCCAGTTTAGCTTTGAATGCATCCACTTTATCTGCTGCTGTTCTCCCCTCAAGTGGCAGATTGAGTTTTTCAAGCAGGTTGGATATATCTCATAAATAAGCATGTTATGTGACCCATTCCGTGTCACTGAAACGTGCAGTCAATGGTGCTGATTTATAAAAGCAATCTCTGGAGCAAATCTTGTATTTCAAAAACTCTGGCCGCTGATCTACCTACCTTTAGAAAGCCACCTTACTCCTGTGTATAAGAGAAGACCTGTGTGCTCTGTGTCCATCTCCTCACAGAGTTGCACAAACAGGTGTGAGTTAAGGGCCTGTACTTTAATGTGGTTGGTGATCCTAATGACATCCTGAAAAATGATACTAAGTTTAAGCTAGCCAGCATTTCTCGATGGATGACACAGTGTATAGACTAACACAGAAGTGAGCTCTTTGACCCAGTAGTGAAAGCGGAAAGCCATCGAGTCATGGCAGCTGCTTTTGCTGCACATATACAGACATAAAATGACCAATTCAGTTTTCCTGATATGGAATCATTCAAAGACTTGAATAGTTTCACAAGCTGTAGCGTTGGTTGGGAACAAAAATGCGTATAGCATTTCTTCATGCACATCTGCCTGAAAAGGAGATCACACAGAACACGCACTGCTGCCCTGTTGTCAGCATCAGTGAACTTGTCCAAACTGACTCCGTGCCAGAGTGATTCATTACTCCTCTTCAACAGTGCCTCGATGTCCTTGGTATTTCATTAATTCATCTAGTTATGGTGCTGACCAAAAGAGGAACATGTGCCACACTGCGAACCGAATCTTCTCCTAAGGCTTCATGAGGAGTGTTCTTCACAGCAGGCAGGATCAACTCTGCACCAGCAGTGGAGGCTTAGCTTTAGCCGCGTGGGTGGCATTGAGAACGCTGCTCTCAGTGCAGACACATCGGATGCATTGGTGGCCTTCAATAACCACTTCCGTTGTTTCTGTTTACACTCTTTTCTTTGGAAAAACTTCAAAGGCATGACTTCTGAATCAGGATGCTTGGTGTCTATGTGGAGAAGCAGTTTTGAAGATTTCATGGCTTTGGTGGTTAGCTGATCACCACAAATTATACAAAACAGGCTTGGAGTATGTGAATCATCTGTTGTAATATGTTCATAATTTAATTAGGGTCCTTGGTATTTTCCTTAAATGCAATTTTCTTTTTTGGCAGTTTTAGAGTCTTCTGTTGTCTCATCATTGGGTCTTTCCCCCCTTTCAAAGAAGCTGTCTGGTGATGTTTGTTGTTTGCTCATTTTGACTAGGGTTTGACTATGGGCTTACCACAACTGTGACTGAGGCAAGTGTGTAGTGTGGAAAAGAGATATTGATAAAGTAGTTAATAGAACAATGGGACATCAACTCACTTGCCACTGTAAAGCCTGACACCAGACACAGTTTAACAGTCACTATTTACTGATAGAGTTTTGATGTAAATCTGTAAGCAATTGATTTCTTATGGTCTCTTTGCAGTCAAACTTGTCTGCTGAAGTTAATCTGTATTTGCAACTGCTTCCCAGTGCTACCATCGGTGCCTCAGCTCCACCTCAGACCATCAGGTGTTAGATTCTCCTAAGGAGCTCCAACCTACAGCCCGCACGTGCACAGCACTCAGTAGTGTTTGTGCTGTGAGAATCTAATACCATTACTGACCTGACAAGAGGCACAGCTCAGGTGGTAATTTGAGTGATGGGGAGCAGCTGTGGCTAAAGATGAAGCTTCACTTCCAGCCTGCTGCTCAGCTCCTGCTCTGTGGCCCAGTTCCTAGCAGCCCTTGGCTGGTACTGCTCCATGTTCTGGAGTAGTGGTGGTGAACCTATGGCACATGTGCTGCAATGGGCTGTTTGTTATTGTTCAAAGCTCTAAAAGGTTTACCATGCCTGGCTATGGGCTGGGACCCTTGATATAGGGTTTGGTCCCAGCTTATCTCTTAGACTGGAGCCACTCTCTTGTTCTAGCCTTTTTGTTTGTTTGTTTGTTTGTTTGTTTGTTTCAGGCAACGGTCAAGATCTTTGGCAGGCTTTCTCTCTTCTTGGCCTGCTGCCCCTGGCTCTGGACATAGCTGACTTATTCTAGGTCTCAGAAATGAGGTTAAAGGTTGTCTCTGAGTAATTACCTGGCCACCTTCTATATTATCTGTTTCATTGTGGAATTTGTTTCTTTCATGACACATCACAATTTGAAATGATTTCATTTGCCTACTGACCTACACCCTATTTATCACTTGTATTTCTGTCATTTATTTATTTATTGGAGTACTGCAGCTTTATTTTATTTTGCGATAAGGTCTTGCTAAGTTGCCCAGCTTGGCCTCAAACTCTGCATCCTCTTAGCCTCTCCAGTGCTTGGATTGCAAGCATGCACCGTCTTGCCCAGTTCTTTTTTCTCTTCTTTTTAAAAAAAATCTCTGTAAAAAGTAAGGCTCATGAAGTTAGGTCTTACAATTTACCTTTGTGTCCCCAGGCAGGAAGCTGTCAGACACATGGAAGGTGCCCCATAGTATTTGTTAAATAAGAACAACACATATTTATTCCTTTTTAAAAAGTATAGGACATATAATAAACTAAGATGCATATTGAGAGTGTGCTTTAATTCAATTTGGGATGTACTTTTCTACAAAGCTCTTGCTTCCATCACTGGAAGCATCACTATTTTATTTCTCGGTTATTTTGTAAAAGCACTTTGATTAACCTTTCTTCCCTTTTTCTCTAGGGTACTCTCACAGGAAACGGAAGTTACAGAATGCAAGGTAAGAATGATGGGATGAGGAGGAGGAGGTCTTAGAGGCCCCTGTTCTAATAAGGCTCTGATGTTTGCTCTGAGAAGCTCTGACCTGGGCTTTGGGAACTAAACTTACACTTCCTTTGTGCCTAGGTCAGTGGTGGCAAACCTGTGGCACATGTGCCACAGAGGGCTGTTTGCATCGCTGAAAAGTCTAAAAGGTTCGCCATCACTGTGCCTGTGTCTTAGTCACTTTTGTCCTTGTTGATACACAACACCCTACATCAGGTACTTAAAGGAGGAAAGATCTGACTCGTGTAGGAAAGCTGCCCACGTCACCTGCCAGGAAATGGAGCAAATGGGGGAGCCGGGAAGGAGATGCCTGCCCAGATCTCACCCTAGGGACCCCTCTTCTGCATCCTACAACAGAGTCAGCTATGGCTCCCCCATGATCCTTCCAACAGCCCGACCTCTGCACACATGAGCTCTCAGGGGATGTTCTAGATCCAGACCAAAACGGCCTAATTGTGAAATGAAAATTCAGCATGTTTCTCTGTTTATTCTCTATGCGTCCACCTTCCTTAGTTCTTAAGGTATAATAATTATCTCCCTATTAGTGAGAAATCATTTTTATCTCTATATTAATGCTTTTTGGGGGGTTCACTGAATTTGAACTGATTGCCTACTATTTCCAGGTTTGGGCTGTACATTGGGGTCACCAAAGTGAACAAAAAAAGAATACCAGAATCTACTCTCAGGGTTTTTATGCCTACCTCAGTTAATTTCTGCCCTGAATGAATATTGGGATCATCTGAGCATTTATACACAGTATGCAGGACCAACCCAGAGCAAATGAATCAGAATCTGTGGGCTAAGACCTGACCAAATAGTTTTCTAGAAGTTCTCCAGATGATTCGTGTGTCTGTGTGTGTGTGTGTGTGTGTGTGTGTGTGTGGTACTGGAGATTAAACCTAGGGCTTTACATGTGGCTAAGCAAGTGTTTTGCCACCAAGCTACATCCTCAGTTCTTTTAATTTTATTTTGAGATAAAATCCTACTCATTTTCCCAGGGAAGCTTTGAACTTGTGATCCTCCTGCCTCAGCTTCCTGCGTAGCTGGGATTACAGACATGTGCCACAGAGCCTGACTGTCCAGATGATGGTAATATGCAATCAGGGCTGAGAAATACAGGTCTGTTATATCTCTTGGCTTAATCTCCATTCCCCCTCTGCACATACAATCATTTCCAATAAGCAGCTCTTACATAATAATCACTATATTTTTCATTTTTCTGAAATTTAATACATGAGAATGCAATATATTTTGGAAAAAAAGAAACTTCAATCCTATATAAAACATTTTAAACTAAGTAAAATATGGTATATTACAAACACAAAATATGTGCAGCAAAAAAGTCAAAGTTAAATAAAATACTGAACTATACTGTCAGTATTATCAGAGGTGAAACATGGAAATATGATAATATTCATAGGTAACATTGATAGCTATCCATTCATCTGTCATTTTTAAAGTTATGTAGTTTATGTTCATCTCTACCTGTAACTTTTAAACTCTGTATACAAATAGGAATTTGTTTGCTCTATTGACAACAGTATACCTATAAATTATATATAAATATCATATTATATATATTATTAATAATATAAATTATGCATATACATATATATAGAGAGAGAGAGAGAGAGAATTGATCGCATGGCTTTGCACATGTTAGACAAGAGCTCTACCACTGAGCTCCAACCCCAGTCCTTTTAAGTCTTTCTTTTTTTTTAATTTTGAGGATGGGCCAAAACTTTTGATCCTCCTACCTCAAACTCCCAAGCAGATGCAATTAGGAGCATGGACCACCAACTTGAGAGTAACCAATATTAGTATATGAATGAATGAGTGAGTATTTCTCACAGTAGATCTGTGAGGTAGGTCTCTCATTTTTCCCATGTTATAGATAAGGATGCTGAGACACACAATTTACTAATATACAGTCTTCATGGGATATTTGTGTTCTGTTCACTGCTGTACCTCTAGGTATATAGAACAGTGTGTAACATACTAAATATTTCTTGAATGAAAATAGAAAATAACTCCATTTCCCCTAGCCATAGAATGGTAAAGAAGTCAGTATTCAAACTCAAGTCTGAGTAGATCTATACCATTCATTTTTTTTCTTTTTCCTTTTGAAATTGCTCATGGCCATGGAAGAATTGCAGTAACAGTAAGAGAACAATAACAGTACAAGACCCAGTGACCCTTCACCTGGACTCCTCACTCCGCCTGTGCCACATTGGCTTTATCTGTTTCCCGATATGCACCATGATTTTTTCTGAACCATATCTAAGGAAGGCACAGACATCTTGACACTCCACCTGGACTCTTTGTCCAGTGATTGCTAAGAGAAAACATGCAGCTTTTATATCTAAGAAAATTAAGATTAGTTCAAATTTCCTTAGCCGTTCACCAAATTACTTTATGGATTTCCCCCAGTCAGCGTCCCACCAAGGCTCACTGCCTTTGGTTGCTGCCTTCTCAGAAGGTCTGTTCTTCTAGCCCTATTCTGCAGTATAGCACTTAAGAAATGCTTAACTCCACCTCAGCATTTTGTTTTCACAGCTTCGTCAGTCTGGCCAACCTTCCTCCCTCAGGATCAGCAAATGCAGGAGCAGAGGGGATTTGCTCAGAGGAGAACATCTACACCATCAAGGAGAGCGTCTACCCCATGGAGGATCCAAGTGAGCATTACTGCTCGGTCAGCAAGGGGCAGCAAGCCTGACTCCCTCTGGGGTGTTACCTTTTCCTGCTGTTGGTTTCAGCCCCCTCATTGTTCACTTTGGCATTCTCCTTTCCAAAACCGATAAATGACTGGTTTTGCAGGCTATACCCTCAGCCTCCTAAAAGTGTATTTCCATTTTCAGAAGATAATTAGCTCACTTAGGAATTCACCTGTGACCTATGCTGAACTTAGACATATTATTACTTCTGTTTTCTAGCTAGCATGGCTCCCCAACCCAGAGACTGCAGATTGTGGGCATTAGAGCTCAGAAGTGCTTCAATAAGGAGAAACCACCAACTGAGAGAAGAGACAATCTACAGAGTAGGAAAATATATTTACCAGCTATTCAGATAAAGGCCTACTATCTAGCATATATAAAGAACTCAAAAAAATCAGAGCCCCCCCCCAAATTTAAAGACCCAATGCAAAGATGGGCATCTGAAATGAACAGACATTTCTCAGATGAAGAATTAGAAATGGCAAATAAACATATGAAAAAATGTTCAACATCACTGGTCATTTGTGAAATGCAAATTAAAACAACACTGAGGTTCCATCTCACTCCAAAAAGAATGGCTGCTACCAAGAAGTCAACCAATAAGAAATTCTGGTGGGGCTGTGGGGAAAAAGAAATCCTTCTCCAATGTTAGTGGGAGTGTAGACTGGTGCAAGCACTGTGGAAATCAGTGTAGAGATTTCTCAAAAAACTAAAACTAGAGGTTCCATTTGACCCAGCCATACCTGTTCTTGGTATCTTCCCAAAAGACTTAAAAGCATCATACCACAGCAATATATGAACATCCATGTTTATATAAGGACAGTGTGTAATAGCTAAATCATGGAAACATCCCAAATGCCCATCAACTGACAAATAGATAAAGAAGATGTGGGTTTTTTTATATAATGGAGTACTATTCTGCCATGGAAAGGATAACCTCACGACATTTCTAGCTAAATGGATGCACCTTGAGACTAATTTTTTTTGAGACCATACTCTTAAGTGAAATAAATCGGACACACATCTGTAAATATCACATGGTTTCTCTGGTATGAGAAACCAAAAGTATAAATAAGGACCAAAATTTATAATAGATGTTGGGAAATAGGAAGAAACTATTCACATGAGAAGGGGAATAAGGGAGGGGAAAGGGGGAAAGGAAAAGGGGAACAAGAAAGAAAAAGAATGGAAGGATAAAATGGAAACAGGGCTTTTGTAGATAAAGGAGGAGGGGTTGAAGGGAGGGGAGGGAAATGGAAAAAAAAAAAAGAAGGATGAGCTTCAGACCTTTGTACCTGGAATGGGATAAAATAAA